AGCAGCAGCAGCAGCAGTAGTAGGCAAAAACAACACTACTTATCTTGGACAGGAATGCAATTCAAACGCATGTGCGTATGTCCGTGTGCACAAATGCGTTTGCGCCTGTGTGATTTGTGGATGCATGTGCAAGGCGTAGGCATGCATGCATGTGCTCATTTTTACAAAACACCTCTTTTCGCACCTCTTACGACGGCAAGAAGTAAGGCGATCATGAAACTACATGGGGCTGCTGGATATGGTGCCTTCCTGTCGACATGGCCCACATTTTACAAGAGTTGCCGAAGGAGGCATATGGTTTGGGGCCCCCAAGACGTTGGTGCCGTTCCCGCTGGGTTCATGTAGCCTCAAAACCCTGCTCAAGCGACCTGCTGCTCGATCACGAGGCGCTCGTTCCCTGCAAAGCATTGTAACGGCTCTCCCGCAATGTATTTCGTATTTTCAGTTCGTATGATTCAGCTTACTTTTCATTGGGACTCCTGACGGAGAGAGTGCTGGCGTTGTTCAACTAAGGGTTTGAGGCTGAGGGCCTTCGATTGCAGAAGGGCGCGGCCCTCCGTCCGCTTGAGAAAGCACACGACCCCCCGTGTTTGCATCCCTTAGCCACTCGAATGGCAGCTTCGTCCGAAATTGAGACCCCAAACACGAACCCAAACCCTCAACCCAACCGCGAAGCCCTAACTCCCACTGCGCTCCAAAAGCTGAAACGACACTCAGGATGTAGGGCGTGTACAAGCCGGATCCGTATGCCAAGGCAAGGCCAAGGAGCGCTTAGTCAGGCGTTCTGTCCGGGCGCCCTCCTGGCGAACTAGCATGAGACCGGTGCCCCTCGTTGCTGGATGCAGCATGGGGTGAGCACTGAGATCACAGAGCATGCATGTCACATCGGGCGCAGAGGGAACAGTAGGATTCGATCAAGTGTGCTCTTCACATCATCGGCTGCCTTGCAAAGTTGACTTCATTGCTGGCTCAGGCATGTAGGGTCGTCACATCAGATGCAGAGGGAACTTGGACCCACTGTTTTCCTGTTCTTCGGACGCACTGCAAACATGCATGCAGCCTTGCCGAGCCTTCATCACGACTGCGCCTGAAATTGACATCGCCAACAACATCATCGCCAAAGCTGCCATGCTGATCAACGAAATCAAGATCCTCACCATCATCATTGTTGTCCTCGTCGTCGTCCTTACCATAGTCGTAACCCCAGACCCCGTCCTTATCAAGTCATGAGATCGGCATTGCTATCACCTGCTTCTTGCGCTTCGACTCCCAAGAACCATCACTGTGCCCATCGCGTCTTAACCATTGCCGCGGTCATGCATGCCTCTTGCCAAGGGGCGCTGCTTTGTTCTGACTGTGTCTATCCATGCTGCAGGTGTTGCTGCCACCTGTTAAGAAAGTTGTCATAGCTTGAAATTTAAACTCTCATCCTTACCGCGAGGCATGTCGCGGTAACGCGCTCTAAAAATCAAGCAAGACCCTTGAATCTTAATGTGAACACATGAATACCGAGAGAAGCGGTGTCCAGTCGGGGACCATTGCCCGCCCTGTCGTAAGCGAAACGGCAGAAGCAACCTTCAAACCCTGCAATGCATCTCCCTCCATGACAGCTTTCAAGACGATCCAAGTACCTTGATTTGCTGCTGGTGCAGCTTCTCGAAGAACACCGCTCGTTCTGCAGCAGCCTCCGGCCCAACAGTGGGTGCTGGAGTTGAGAAGAGCCAACTAACCCGTGCGTGGTGCAGTCCAGCGCCACTGAACTGTTGAGCAGCTGGTTTTTTTAATTTAAGTCCGCACAGATTCTTCCCAGAATGTTTAGGGAGAGGTGAGTCTCTCTGTGCCACTCCCGGCCGTTGTCCGCATTTGGCGCGTCGAACTACGACGCAAAACGTCTAACAGAGCCAACCTTAGAGGGTAAACTCGGGTAACGTCGGAATATTTGGTGGGATACCCCCCAGTTACTCAACCCAAAATGGTTTAGAAGCAAAGGCCGACCATCCACCCCCAGAGATCCCTCCTGAATGCACTATCCCGAACGGAACACCATCCTGTGTTTTGGGGTCCTTCTGCTATAAGTCCGCAAACATAGATCCTACACCCTAAACCCCAAGAACCGCTAAATCTATACCCCGAGCCAAAAACCGCGAAAAGCTCTGAACCCTTACCTCCCACTCATACACCTGCTGCCCCTAAACCTCTTCGATGAACCCTAAACATCTAAAGCTCTAGCTCACCCAGCCGAAACCTTAACCCCAAACTCTCTGCCTTCTTCGATTAGCGGATTAGCTTATGCAGCCTGGCCCCCAAACCCCCAGTCCCCAAATCCTGAAACCCTAGACCCCTGAGGCCCCTCCAAAAAGACCTTCCAAAATCCTGGTGCAAACCCGTCTAGCACCCCTCTGAAACCCCTCGTAAGGCCAGGAGGAACTCCCGGAAAATTGCTGAGGCCCAGACTCGCTCTTTGAGATCAGCTTTCTCCCTTCTGGCCGACTCTGTCTCTTCCTCCTTCCTGGCAAGGAGCTCCAGAAGGATGTGGGTAAAGCTTCGTGAAGGAGTTTCGGGTTTCGACTTAGGGTTCAAAAGGAATTTTAAGGGATTTCGGTTTAGGTTGTTTAGGGTTAAGTTTGTTGTGCTTGGATTTTGGGGCTTGGGGCTTGTAGAGTGTAGGGTGCTGAGGCGTTTAGAGCTTTCGGGTGTTAGTGGCTCGCGGATTGGGACTTGGGACGTTGAGGTCGTACGGCTGATGCTCCAGGACTTTCTGCGCTCCTTCTCGGGCATGCTAGGCGAGGTTTGGTCTAGCAAGCGTTTGGGGAAGGCTTGCCGCCCCCAAGGTTTCGGAATTCGCATGAAGGGATGGTCTAATCGATATCTTGGGTTGGCTTGCAAACCTTCTATCAGCCGCACTTTGCTTGAGAGTTCCGAAACCAGAACCTTCTTGCCCCAAAAAAGGCAGCATCAAAAGTTTACTCTGACAGGTTGCCTGGGGGCAGACTTACAGGAGCATGGCACAGCCCCGCGCCACCTCCTCTTCTCCTCTGTTCTCCTCTTGAGGTCTGCCTGCTTCTGCTCCTGCTGCAGATGCCTCAAGGGGATGTTTCAGGCCTCAAACCTGAAGTGAATGGCGTCTCTGCAGGTTATTCAGACACCAAGAAGGCTACGGACAAGGCCGAATCTCAAGGGCCCCAAACCCTAAACCGCTAAGCCCAAAACAAGGTTGCGCCTTTCGGTAGCCCAGAGGTCGGCCTGCTTTTGGTCGATCTGGCGCCGAGCCTCCTGCGACATTCTGAGAGATTCCCACACAAATCAAGACACACATTCCGCGGAGGCTTCCTGCCAACCGACGAAATGTAGTCCGACTTGCTGTTGAGGGCTGCTGAGGCTTCAGCACTCACACTCGTTTCCTGAGACACACATTCGAGTAATCCCCCGACTTTCAGTTCAACCGACAACTATGCCAAGACCAACTACACCAACAAAGGACCTAATCACAGCAGCTGCTGCGCAGGACAATCGACCCTTCTAGTATGACACATCGGACCGCAAGGAAGGATTCCACATCAAGGCAAAGGGCACCCCACCCCTTTCGCCTTCTTCTTGAGCACTAGCTGCTTCTCCTCTTCTAGCGAGCGGAGTGCCTTCTCGTTCTCCTCTTCGGGCTTGCTTGCTGAGGCTTGGAGACGTTTACAGACCGCACTTGGGGTTCCAGGTTTTGCAGTTCGGGGCTCGAGCTGGAGCTCTCAAGGCTTGCGAGAGGGCTACAAGCCTCTTCCTTACTTCGGTTTCAACTTTGCGCTCATGCACGGACTGTCCATCTGGTAGCGACTGAACCCTTCCCCATGTTTCCCGCAGCCTCGCGGGCGCGAGACACGTCGGAGGTCACTTCTTCCTGCTTCCTGCCTGCATGGGCTGCAGGCTCAGCCGGCGACTTGCTTTCCACATGACTACCTACGCTGGTCGAGGGAAGCATAAGGCAAGTGGCCAGCAGTGATGACTAGCAGGAAACCAGGAAAACGCCCACACAACTGTCGAGCGCAAAAAGAATGCGAGTACTCGAACAAGCTCTTCCGAGCTAACCGCGCCAGTACATTCCCATGAGCCTGCATCTGCGTCACTGCTGGCACTGACACTCTCTATGGCATGTTTGGCCATCTTCGTCTTGCGAGACATGTTGACATTTCTTGCAAAGCATGGTTGCTGTTGTTAGCCTCCCCACCACCCCCAAGATACTCTCACCACCATTCCCCAAAAGCCTTTCTGCTAACAGGAGCCGACATGCAGACGCTGGGTCCCCAACTTCGAGAGGTAGCGACCTGGCTCATGATGTCGTCCTTCAAGCCTCGTCAACTCAGAGTCAAACCGTGCGTTGTGAGCCTTGTCCACATTTTTTGACATGTTGAGGTCATTGCATTGTAGACTGCATTCCATGCTCACTCTGTCTCTCGGACACTCCTGGGGCACGGGGCAGGCGGTACCGAAGGCACCACGCAGCACACTTAAATTCAATTCCGTTGTCTAGCTCGTGTTGTAACCACGCGTCAAAGTGGGCCGATTCGCAATGCCCGGTTCACGTAGTCACTACTGGCATCTCGGTCCGATAAGATGCTCACTGAACTGTCGTAGCATAACTCGCTAATCCCAGGCTATCAGTTCAGCTCTCAACAAATCTGTGGAAAGCTCTGCGAGCAGAGCTAGCAAACTCCCCAACCCCCCAGCCAGCCCTAAACCCTGGCAACAGGCTCTGGTCGAGCGATCAGCGAGACCGTGCATGGGAGCCTCAGGCGGGCAACCGAGCCGGCCTCCAGTTTTTTTCCAGGCATGCTTAGGCCGAGTCAGGCTTGGTCCCTGTCAAACAAAAGGACGCTGGGCCGCCGGCAGAGCGCTGGCCGTCTCGCACGCTGGGGTCCGGGCTGGGCGCTGCCGCAACTTGGTACGGGACGCTGCGGCCCGGGCTGGGGTGGAGAAATTTTTTTGGCCCCGGCTGACCGCCCGGGCTGGTGGCACGCGGCTCAGGGGCCTTCGGCCGTGCTTGGGGTTCTGCCGGAACCTCCCGTGGTACGGCCCCGAAATCCTAGCTGCCTGGCCAGGCTTCGCCATAATGCAGCCTTCACGGTGAAAACACACTCCTTCAGTCGTGCAGGTATTCTCGCCTTACTTGTGCGAAGAAACATATAAAATTGTGCGCCCTGAGAGTTGTAAGTTGTAAGTGGGTGACCTTGCGGTGGGTGAGCCTGCAGACCGACGTGCGCCCACAGATGCGCGCTTTCGCTTGGCACACCCTAAACCCTAAACTAAGCCCTAACCATGTTCCAAAAACCATAAGCCCTAAACTCTGCCCTACACTTTTGCAACCCTTTTGAAACCGGACCTGATGACCTTTAAACCCTAAATTGCCCTAAACCCTGCACCCTTGGCCTTGAAACCTTTTACTAAACCTAATACACCCCAACCCTAAGCCCTAAACCCCAGCCCGCTACATACCTTGCGCCATGCGGCGAATCATCTGCTCTTGCTTTCGTTGCGCGGCGACTGAGGCCTGCGGCTTAGCCCGTTTGCAGGGCTTCGGCGCGCAGACTTTTCGGGTTTAGGGCTTAGGGTTTAGGGTCTAGGGTCTTTTTGGGAAGGCTAGGGTTTAGGGCTTGTTTTGGGACGGATTAGAAGGCCTTTGGTTTAAGGTTTATAGGATTATAAGCTTTGAAGCTCAGGGCTTTTCTGACTCTTGCGCTCGCACCAGGCAGGCAAGGCAGCTTAGGGTTACAGCTTAGGCCTCAGGGCTTAGCGTCTATTCGGGCCTTTTGACGCGCACGCTTTTGCAACATTAGGGTGCGCCTGTGGATCAACCCGAGAGACATGGCCCCATGGCTTTCAGTTCCTTGGCCTTGGAAAAAAGGGGCCAAGGACGGAGGTCTGAAAGTATTTTGAAAGTCGGCCAAAGCCCTGGGCCGGGGCCTCGATCTTCAAAAACTCTTGGTCCTTGTCCGCCCGGACCTGGGCAGGGTTCCGCCGACTCGCCGAAGAACCACGATTCGGATGTCCCAGCATCACCCCGGCCACGTTCTATGCAAAGGCGATGCTGTGATCTTGGCCCGCGCTTTTGCTTTCTCTTCCTGGTCTCTCTCCTGGAACCATTCAGCTGCAAAGCTGCATGCGACTTTCCACGAGACCTAACCCCGTGCTTTTTTCCGCCGTGCTCAAAGAAGCTTCCGGGCTGAGAGATGCCTTACGGTCAGGGCCCCGGGTTGCCAGAGAACACTAAGGTCTCCTTGGCTCGAACGTGCTCCTGTATTTGCTCCTTCAAGAAGTCCCTGTACCTGTCACGGCTTGATACGGCTTGCACCGTCTTGCACCACAGTTTTGACATGGAGGGTGCCCATCGGAGCCTGGACTTACGCTCCTTGTCTGCGAGCTGCTGCTTCAACTGCTCATCCTGTGGCGCTTGAGGTGCGAAGCTCCAGGAAACTGTGGGGAGTCTGAAGCGTTCAGCGGCTCGAAGCTTAAACTCCGGCTTGAGGATTGAAGCATGCACGACAAGCGAGTGCATAAATCACGCCCGACAACATCATACAGAACGTATGTCTAATCACATCACAAAACCTGACCTGGCAGAACAGTGCCTGTAAGTTCACTGACAAGTGGCCTCCATGCACAGCTTTTGAACCGCGGCGATTTTGGACCATCGTGCCAGCTTCTGATACTCTGGCTTCACCTAGACAGAAGAGTTCCAAGACGGAAGCCCCAAATCATTTGCCAAAATCGCCCACCGGAATGCCTCACTGTCGCTGTTGACTTGAACTAGGTCAGATTGCTAGTGTTGCCTTTGCTGTCGCGATAACTGCTGTCACCATTGGCATGGCTGTCGTCATGATCTTGGCCGACATGTCTGTTAATGTTGCTCTTCGGCTTTTCTTCTTTCATCGCTAGACGTGCTACATTAATTGCAAACACGGCTGTAATGAGAATGCTGACGATATGGACGAAAAAAAGTATCAGCAACCCTTTCGAATGCGTTCGCGGCAGTATCCATGGAAGCACAGGTGTCGTAGTCGGCGAAGGAAAACTAGCAGCACTACTACTGATACTACGTAGACGTCTACGAACGGGGGTACGACGACGAACACGACGGCATGGATCCTAAACCCAAGTCGGGGTGACCCCTGAAGCCAGAAGCCCAGTCATCCAGAAACATTCCAGTTTATAAAATACTATAATATATCATATTTATATATGAAAAATATAATATAACATATAATATAATATTTGTTTATTATATATTATGTTATAGTATATTTATACTATACTATACTATACTATACTATGTTATACAATATATTATATTACAAACACCTTATATTTATTCGATTGTGACGGTGTGTGTGTATATATATATATCCTGTATACTATACTGTCCTATACTATATTACACTATCTCTCTCTCTCTCTCTCTCTATTATCCTGTACTTATTATGATGGGGCAAGGCGCCGTCAGGGTGTCCCCATCCCAGTAGCAGACACTCGGGCGTTGAGCCTGGACGTGGAGGTCTTTGCAGTTCAAGCTTTGGGAGCGGGTTTAGGGCTTAGGGTTTAGGGCTTAGGGTTTACGCTCTCACAACTCGGACAAGCCAGGCGAGGTTCATGGTACGAGGTCGGCGTGAAACAGGAATCAACAGTCCACAATAGAAGAGGAAACCACCCCAACATCTAAGAACCAATCCACCAGATAGACGCCATGGACTGTCAAGAGTGGCAGGTTTTACTGTCACCGGGCCATGCACCCTGACTCCGAAGCCCCCAAACGAGCAAACACAACCAGGCATACAACACCAGCCCACCAAAACCACCCGAAGGCCCGAAGTCAAGATGGCCCATCATACTCCGAAAAGTTCTCCCAGGATAGGGTGACACCTAAACACCGAATTTACAAAGCCAACTCAGAAGTTACTCAGTACTCAACGACGTCAACATGGTCACGGCAGCTCATCACGCCAGCCAACCCAGAAAGTACTCAGTACTCAGGGGACATCCACATGGTCAGTGCAGCTCATCACACAAGCAGTGATGCGCAAAAGGCTAGTAGGCTTCTCCGGGACAGCGAAGAGTAGCTGAAAACGGTGAGCTCATCTCCTTCCGACTAGCAGACTTGCGTATTCAGCAGGCACTCCCCCATTGTCGGTAACCTTTCAGTTGACATGCTCGTCCGTTCCCTCTCCACTGATAGAAACTCTGCTGGTCCTGCAAACCACCCCTGGCGAATAACACAATCCAGTTTCCAAGAAGGTTGCGAGCCACCCTACGTTGTGCTGTCCAGGTGTCCATCTGTCGCCTATTCCACTGAACCTGTGGTAGCTGTTAAGCCGTGCCCGGGAGGGAGCAGAGTTGTGGGCCCTTCGTGTTATCCGCGGGTCTTTGCCACTCGGCACGTCGGTTTCTTTGAGACACAGCTGGGGTACGAAGCAGCCTCTGACTTCCAGGATACGGAGCAGTCTCTCCCAGCATCGGTATTACAGCCAGCCGCAGGTCAGGGCACTGTCTGAGTCCAAGGCGAGGTCGTTAGGTAGCCATGGCACCACGCGCGTGGGTTAGTGGTTGTTAGGGAGGGAAACCAGGATAAAACATGATAAGAGTGGGGGTAGGGAAGGGAACGACAGACAGACCAGACAGGCATGCAGCATCATCACCAAGCATCACCCAGGCATGCAAGCAGTCCAGCATTAAATTCCATCATCACATGCATGAATTCACAGTCCTGCAAAGGTAAGTGCACAGTCCTCCCAAAAGCCAATGTCGTGTTTTACACACGAGGTAGCTTCCGTGAGCCAGCCGTTTACTGAGAGTCCAAAACCTCAATGACGTCATGCAGCTCTCCCACCTTGTTGGGAAGGCTGAAGGCTTCTTGTACGGATAACTGTCTAAGCCTTGGCACGTCCTCTTGTGGCCTTGCCCTGTCATGCATGGATAGCTCCTCCGGCCTAGGGAGTGGGAAGCCTAGGTCCTCCAGCAAAAGCTTCACTCTGGGTTCCACAAAGCGAGCATTGAGGGTCGTGAAGGCAACCAATACGATTCGGGAGGATGCAAGTTGTAGGTTTGACATGTGTCCTGCATGCAACACTTTCCTAGCGTCAAACACAAAAGGCGCATCCAGTGGAACAATCGTCCCCGGAAGGGACTGGCCCAGGTGCTCTTTAAAGGTACTTCCTACTTTGTCGTGAATCCAGAGCCCATCTCCTAGAGCTGGGGTGCTGAGACAAACTACCAAGGAAGGATAGGGCCCATTCTTCGAGTCTCTGTGCACTCTTGAGTAGCATCCACGTCTTATCACAAAGCTAGAAAACTTGTGCCGAGGATCAAGCATTCTTACAAAACTCGTCACTAACTTGACGAAGCAAGGGTGCGAGTTACACAAGTTCAGAAGGGAGGCCGGGGATCTCGGGTTAACCCCTCCTACTGCGTAGGAAACCGACGAGGTGTCACCATCCTCACCACCTGAACGACGGAGGATTGAACGCGGTAGCAAGTTAAAGATATCTGTTAGCTGCACTCTCGTGGGCCCCGAGGACTGCTTTAGGATCTCCTCCGCTCTTTGTTCCACCTGGTCCTTGTTGTTACCTAGTAGTGTTAGTGAGGGGTGTTCGGTGCCGACTGCAGAGTGAGGGCTTGAGGCAGAGGGCGACAGAAGTACTACGGAAGGGGCTTCTTCT